TGCTTCCTTGATCACCTTCATCCTCTCTTCCACCTGAAAGTTCCCAAAGTCCTGTTCCCGAATCCGCGACTCTTCCCGAACGCCGATCACTCTCTTCTTCGACAAGCACGCTCCCACCTCGCGGAGCGTCGATCGCGTGCGGGCGTACGGCGACACGTAGAACTGCACCCGCCAATCGGGGGAGCACCCCGCGCCGCCAATCACGCGCCGCAGCTCCTCGCCGGCGCGGCGGGCCTGGGCGGCGCCCTGCGGCGTGAGCTGAATGCTGTGGTCCGGCGTGGTGGTGTAGGCCGCCGTGTCGCGGTTCCCCTGCGACTCGCCGTGGCGCATCAGGATTATTCTCTTTGGAAGCACGCCCACCATGTTCTTTTCTCTCTTCTCTCTCGTGAATGCTTTTTTTTTTTTTTTTTTGGGTGGATTTATTTATAGTGTAGTTTAGGAGATGAAGAGAGTAGGGTACGGTACTCTCTCTTTTTGCAACTGTTTTCAAAATATTATATTTTTTTTATTGGAAAGCCTCCTTTGGTCAACGCCCAGCAGCTGTAAGGCGTAAACGTGTTCAACTAACTCCACCGTCACTCCCAACAACTAGGTGAAATGGAGAATTTGATAAATATTTGACTAAAAATAAATTTTAAACAAAATTAAATTTTTTATTCTTTATTTAAGATAAATGGATAAAAATTAGAAGAATATAATATTATAGTGTTATTTGATTTTAATAGAAAGATAGAAATATTTGATAATGTATTTATTATAAAATTATCAATTTATCTTTCTAATCTGAATTATATCATGTTTAAATACTTATTTTCACTCTTTTCTTCCTATTTCTTATATATTTCAGCTTAACCAAACAAAGTATAAGGGAAGATTTTGTTTACTTTTTTGAACCATAAGAATTATAATAAGAGTTAATCATCTATACATTGTCAATGTAAAATTTTTTACACTGATAATTAATCATATTTTTTTACAATTATTTTTTTATTTTTATTTAATTAAATAAGTAAATGATATGGCACTATTAAAAAATATGATTGGTTGTCAATGTAAAAAAACTTTATACTGACAGTGTATAGATAATTAACTCTTATAATTAATAATGACAATAGAATTCAAATTTAAGTTTTGCATATTATCTCAACTCTCACTATTAGGTCAATCCTAATAGTTTAGAGACGATTCATATTACGTGCAAATGTTTTCATACACAACCAGCTTCATAAACCTTTTTAAAGTGTTTTTGAATATTCTAGTCTTTACAAATATCAAATAGATAAAATTTAATGCTTGTTAAATCGAATTAGGTTTTATACAAGATTTCTAATATGTAATTATATGAATTAGGTTTTACAGCATATTTTTAATATGTAATTGTATATGGCCGTAACAAGTGTTTTAACGTACTCTCAATTAAGGATAGCAACGAAGCAAAGTGGTATGAATTTCAATATTCTCGTCCCATCTTCATTCCTATACATTATATTCATCATTGTCTCCATACTTAATGGGTATGAGATTTGTGTCATATCTCCATATCTGTCGAATATCGAGTATATTCGTATCAGTTAATAAATTAATTAATTTTTTTTTGTAAAAAATACTAAAAAAATGTAAAGGATTTCAATATAGAGGAACAATTATAAAATTGTATTAATTAAGTTTCATTTGACATAAATTTAAAATTTGAAATAAAATAAGAATTACATAAATGTTAAGTAAATTCTAAAAATAAATAAATTAAATTTCTTGAAATTTAAAGCAAGTAAATATATATCCAGCACGTCATCGTACCTGATTTAATAAATTAAACATTATTTATATTTATACTCATTAATGATCAAATAGAATATTTCTCATCAAAATTAGGACGAGCATTACCCATAAGTATAAATTTAATTGTTATCCCTATTGTCAACAGAATTAGAAATGAAAAATTAAAAAGTTACTTATAAAAAGCATAACATCTAATATTGAAATTTGAAATCAACTTTGTTATTGACTCTTTTTATCACAATTATTTAGTCCATACTTTTACTACTATTATTATTTTCTTTCAATATTGTCCTTTATTATTGTTGAAATTACTAGCATTATCATGTTAACAAATAAATATTATCTACATTATAAAGAAGAAATTATTTATGGTATTAAATTTAATAAAAATTGCAAATTAAATTAATTTTAAATTTTTAAAATTTCTAAACTAAAAGCTTTAACGTTCTATTATGATTAGGATGGCAAATGAATCCATACTCGTGAGTAATACCTGAACTCGTCCCGACTTTGACGAGGAATACCCGACTTGACCGGGTACGGATAAAACTCGATATATTAAATCAGATATGGGTACGGGTATATACTTACCCGCCCCGTACCCGTCTTTGTCCTCATCCCCGATTTAATACTCACTCCCAATTTAATTATGTTAAAAAAACTTTAATATTTTATTATGTGTAATTATTTATTATAATGTGAAACATTTATAATTTTTTAATTATTAAGAAATAGAGAAACAACCTAATTATAATTGTAATATAATATAAAAAAATTTAAATGTATTTTTTTTGAAAAAATAAAATAAATATAATTTTTTTACAGGTATAACCGATACTCGATAGGGACGGGGATAGAGATGGAAATTATATATCCGACAAGTACGAATACAGGTACAAGGATGGATTTGAGTCATAGAGATGGGAAAGTATCATGAAACGCATACTTGACTCGCCTTTGCCATCCCTAACTATGCTTAGATTCTTTATGATCTAATCTACTACTTAAATTTAAAAGCATGCTTACAAATTAAAGGATCGATCTCTAAACATTATATCCGCTAATTATTTCATTTCCTCTCCCACCATTTAAATCTTCATGACTCAACTCCTCAATTCATTATCTTTTCCAAAGAAAATGCTAGACCATACAGAACTATATGAACAAATTAAAACTACCACACGAAATTGTGTGATAAATTTTCAAATAATTCTTCATTTTTTTTTCTCAAGTTAATATCTCCTTTAAATTAATAAACCGTTTCACACAATATTTTCGTACTATAGGAAACTGCTTTATTTTAAGCACAAAAGAAAACATCACTGTGTTTATATACACTTCTAATGCAATCATGTTTGTTGTGACAATATAAACATGAAGGGGGCATGATTGAATATACAATCACAAAATTTACACTCACCATATGAAACAAAAGTGGGGCACCATGCGAAACTTGGATTTAAAGTCATGCCATACCAACTCCATACATATTTAGGTATAGGTTGTGATGACTACCATGAACATGATGATGGCATTGAATATGATTCACAAGTTCGTGACATTTCCTAAACAATTCATTGGGAAGCTTCCACTCTTCAAACCTGATATCCTTATTTTGATAATAACTAGTAATCTCTTCGACCAATTCATGATCATCTTCTTTTTCCTCTTCCTCTTCCTCTTCCGTTGGTTCCATCATCAATTCTTCCTCCTCCATTTGTTCTTCTATTTCGTCTACTAGTTCTTGGTCTTCCTCTTCCTCTTCCTCTTTTACATTATCTTCAACACATTGATCTGGAACAAGGAACAATCTCAACCGTCCATCTTGTCGCATAGCATAAAGAATTTTTGGTCTTTCTATTCTCATTTTGCAAAGTTGTAACCTTCCATCTGTTCTTACTGGTACAAGAATGAAACTCGATTGTCCGGTCCCATTCATCGACGAAAGCGGCGGAGGAAAGTTTCCTCTACCTTCTGCCACCCTCATCTTCCTCCAACAATCATCTTCATCCTCATTATTATCATCGATTTCATCATTAATATCAATGCTCTTGAAGTCGAGACTTTTGGTGCAAGATACCCAGTCTTCAAAATCTTTACCAATATCGTTGATAAATTCAATTTGCTTTGGCAATGGAGGAGAACCCAGAACATGGATGGTGGTGGTTGATGCATGGGGGTGAAGCTTGAAGTTGTAGATCGCACTAGTAGTACAGTAGGTGGTGACAAGATTTAACAAGAAAAGGTGGATGTGCTTCTTGAACACATGAAGAAGGAAAGAAAGAGAAAGTGAGAGAATAATAGGAAGATACAAAAAAAAGAAGATCATCATGACATGTATTATTATTACGTAGAAACTCTTGTGTTGAGGAATTGTTTTGTGATTACAGTTCTTGGAAATTAAGTAAGCTTGGGTGATTGGAAGGTGAGAATATTAATAAATAATATTCGCACCCCCAAAGATAGAGGGAACGTTAATTATGAGTGTGGTAATATTAATGGGGGTGAAGAGAGTGTGGAAAGGGTGAAAATTAATTATATGAGTTGTACTTATGGAGCAAATTAAAGTTAGCAATTAGCAAATGGTGCCGAGTTCCACTCAGATGACCTACGATTACTCCCATGATGTCACATTGCTATTTTTCTTCCACATTCTCAAATTGCATTCTCAATCCTCACCCTCACTTTCTCTTTTCTCGCTACTCACTTGGCTAAACACATGGGAAGCTTTTCAGAGTACACGTGCCTGAAATGGTATCATTTTTTGAGGTGCAAACTTTATATACACTTTTTAATTGTGTAGTCAAACTTTTGTTTTGGGGTTAAGGTTGCAAACTAATCAGTAAACTAATTTAACGACACTTATGTTTCTTCATAAGTAAGGATATAGATAGTACTTGAAATAAACTAATTATTTTCTAATGAATATATGAAATTTATCAAAAATAAAATTTATTTATAAATAAGGGCACACGTTATCTAAAACAAGGATATGTATATCAGATTTACCTGAGATAAACCCATTTAACAACTGAAAAACACGTAAAATTATTTTTATAAATTCATAATTGTGTGTTATTTTTCATATGTATCTTTCTAAGCACAAAGAAATGTGACAATGTGATTGGACACTCACTACATGTCCCTGCTAAAATTCAAGAAGGAATTTGAGAGAAAATAATATAATTTTGCACCCAATGCATTCAAATTCTCACTTTAAATCAAATTATTTTATACTTAAATTGTACTTAGAGTCAAAACAAAAAGGAATTTAACAAGTAGATAGTATAAGTAAATATCCTTTCTTACGAAACTTGTTTTCATATACAACAACTTATATTCATTCTTAATTAAACAAGAGTACATTATAATAAAATGAACTTTTAATAATATTTAATATGACTTTTAGTGACAATAAAAATTGCTGCAAAATCTTTTACCAATATTTTTATATTAGTCATTGTATGCAGTGTAGCTAAAATATTTACTGACAATTATTCTACATGCTAGTAAAAATCTTTATAATAGTCGGAAAAAATGTATAAGTTTTTGTGACATTTTTTACTAACATTTAATATTTTTTGCTATTGTCACTAAAAGTTTAAGAAATGATTTATAATACTTTTTAATTACCTTATTTCTAGTCAATGTGAAACTTGTAAGACGAGGGTTTCTCTACTTATATATTCTTTAATTTCTTTATTTTTTTAATTATCTTATTTTTTAATTAATTATTTTATCTATAGTCGATGTGAAATTTGAGTTTTTATCAATACACCCCCTCAAGTTTAGCATTATTAAGTTTAGTAATAATGAATAATCTGATACCAACGTAGAATAATAAGTTATAGGTCTAATTCAATCTTACAAAACAAACTTATAAGGTGAGAGTTATCATCCACTTATATTCTTTAATTATCGTATCTCTTGTTGATGTGAGACTTAATTTTTTTCAATAAATAATTGTCGCCAATAACAAATCTTGGTGTGATGTAAATACACTTTTAGTGATCATCATATATTAGTCATTAATATTTTTATTAAATAATAAAATAAAAATAATTAATTTATTACTATTAAATAATTATCGATAATAATAAATTTTGTTGTAGTAATATGATTGAATTAGAGTGCAAAATGTATTAAAAGTATTAAAGGAATTTAATCAAATACATGAAATACAAAAAGAAAATTGACAATGAATTAAAATATGTTGGATTTAGATTATAACAACAACAATCTTTATATACTCAAAATTAATAAATCATGTCTATGTTAACTTTGTGACATTATTATGCTAATTCCTTACAGAAAATGATATATGATTTCTATATTAATCTTATTATAGAGAACCTGCAATGAACAAAATGAATATCACATGATAAAATCACTTAATTCTATTCTTAGCAATCAAATAATTTAACTTTTTAACTCAGCTCTAATCAAAAACCAATTTCTCAATTAATCTTTCAACCTATAATTTCATGGATGATTAAACCATAAAGAGATAAGAATTGCATCAATAAACACATAAATTCATAAACAATATTTATTTATTAAGAGAAATCCATGAGAATGAGTATGTACAACTAACTCCTGTAGACACCCAATTTCGTCCGGGGGCACACAAACAAGGACATGGATCTCTGTCATGAAGGGAAGGAGCTCCCGCAGAGTGCAAGCGACAAGATAGGACATTAGGGGACCCAGAAGCCCAAATCAGTCATTTTCAGTGTCCCGGAACGGGCCGTTCCAAAATCGGAACGAGCCGTTCCCAAGACTGGAACGAGCCATTCTCGAATTGGAACGGGCCGTTCCAAGGATTTTAAAAGGCCCGTATTTTGTAAACTGGAACGGGTCGTTCCAGTCTCCTAAAAATGGGCTAAACCAGTACCCCAGAACGGACCGTTCTGGTTCCCTGGAACGGGTCGTTCTGGTTTCAGAACGGGCCGTTCCAGGGTCCAAATTAAGGCACAACGGCCATATGCAGAACGGCCGTTCCAATTTTGGAACGGCCGTTCTGGACCCCTTCCCCGAAGTCTATAAATAGACAGTTACTTTAAACCTTATATCATGTACTTGCCTGGTTATAAGACAGAGCAATAGTCACTGCACCTCTCATCAGGCCTGCCCACCATATGATAAACTGACATTTTGAATAGTTTAGCGGACATTCAGAGTTAAAAATATTTTTTAAAATTTCTCTATTAATAATAAAAAATATTTTTTAGTAAAGAAACTCTCAAAAAACATTTATAAGTTTATATTCAAACAGACTTTAAACCTTATATCATGTACTTGCCTGGTTATAAGACAGAGCAATAGTCACTGCACCTCTCATCAGGCCTGCCCACCATATGATAAACTGACATTTTGAATAGTTTAGCGGACATTCAGCAAGGTCAACTGAAAATGTGAACGATTGAGGAATTAGAAGCCCACAACAATCACCTGTGAACGAAACTCAATTTTGGAACTCTCTCTTCTCTTTATGCAATTTGTAATATTTGCAATAGGGAACACAAAAGCTGCTCTTCCAATCAACACTAATGCAAACAACGTTGAACTCACAGCAACTGAAGTTCCTGCACTGCTCTAACAACATGGTAATGTGTTAAGAAAATGATTAATAATATAAATAGAATATTATGTGTTCCTTGACCTTGATGAAAACAATGATATATGACAAATTACCTAGCTTTGCTTTTTTTCCATTGGTCAATGTCTAAAGCATCCATGCCAACAGATATAAATATAAAGGTTTCACAAATGAATGAGATGGTTGCAAAGGAGTGCCTGAAATAGTTAAAGTATTTTCCAAATTAATATTATAACTAGTTTTGTTTGTTTAATTAATTTTTATTTATTTTTATGTACTTCTATTTAAACTTATGTCAGCTGTAATTGCAAGAAGCATCAAAACAATGTTTAGATTGCTGAATAACTCTCAAAGAAGAGAGGAGAAATGAATGCTACAATAGAATGAAATGATTTTAGTAAATCTCATAATTATGTAACTGCTATTGCATTTCCAATCTTAGGTGACTGAATTAAGTTTTCCCGGTTAAAAGGGTTAAAAGATCATGTATTTACCTGGTTGTTGTCCTTGAACTTCCTGTAACATTGTGCCAAGTATAGTGTGACATAACAATGCCACAGAAGAAAATAGTCAAAATCCCACTGAGACTTAAAAGCTGCACAAGCCACACGTATGTATATATACCTTGAAATTCTGAAGTGAATAATTGCATTTACGATTCTCATTGCTACCGAGTATTTTTTGCCATTCTGCAGAGAATTTATAACTCTCTTATACTAGAAAACTCTATTATGATATCAATTTGTTCCGTTGTTTTTACCTTGTGTATTATCTCTTATTTTAAATTTTCTCCCTATACTTCACAGTAAATTCTTGTCAATCTCAATGTTGTTGTAACAAGTTAACAACAAATGATAGGATAATTTGACAATAATTATATATGTTGTGAAAAAATTGAAAACTTTTTTTAATATAAGGACCACATTAAAAATGAGTATCATATATAAGGGTGGAAAATATCTTTCAACCTAAGCACTTTTATTCAACATCTCTGAAGAAAATAAATAAAATATATCAACTACAATGCATTTTGTAGATGGTGGTTCTGTACCTCAGCAATGATATATGACAAATATGCCATCAACATCATAAGTGCAACTTCACGATCAGTAGAATGCCTGTAAATGAAAGGCACTAAGTGAGGTGAATCGCACAACGTCCACAAGGCATACAAGTCATATTTGTAACTCTATTATATTATTCTATAAATCTCTATAGTTTCAATAACTTTTTAAATAGATCCATACACCAGTTCTTGCGAGGTTCTCAAGTTTAAGAACTGGTTCTCATTCAGGCTTATTATTGAGGAGGCTGACATGACTTCCCTTCCCATCATAAGAACTGGTTGTAATACAAGTAACCAGTTCTTAGGATTCAAAAACATTGTGAAATAATATGTGAGACACTGAGACTTATTTCAAGTTCTTAGATCATTGTATCATTGAAGAAAAAAGTTGTTAAAGTTCTTAAATCTGATATAGCATGATAAAACCTATCAAAAGTGAGTTGAGAACCTTCACTTTAAATGCACTATTGGAGATGCTACATGGACTAACACATTGGTGTTTTTTTTTTATAAAAATTCTCTATATTATCCAAAACCTCAAAGAAACCCTAATGTTTAGCAACACTTAACAGTTTCAACACCGAAATCTGGTAAAGACTCAATTGGCAATTCAAGATTTTAGAATTAAAAGAACCATATTTGAGAGATTAGTAAACTAGAAGGATCTATGCAATGTCTTAACCTTGTGTATCTAATTCAAGTCGTCAGAATTTTCTTGAACAATCACACCATTTTACAAGTATCACCTGTGATCGAAACTCAATTTTGGAACTCTCTCTTCTCTTTATGCAATTTGTAATATTTGCAATAGGAAACACAAAAGCTGCTCTTCCAATCAACACTAATGCAATTCACCCAGGCAGGTCATCTGTGGAAACTTCGTCAAGTATAGTACAACTTAAGGATAAACTCCAAGAAGAGACGCTAGCCAAAGAGCAAGCCCAGAGAGAACTGTTCCAGGCCCAGACTGAAGCTCAATCTTGGTGGGAGATCATGCAAGAACAAGCCGCGACCATCTCCGATTTTCGACAAAAGGAAGAAAAGGGGGTCGAGCTACTCAAGGAGGTCACCCGTCAAAGAGACCAAGCTCTAGAGGCGGTACAGGAGCTGAAAACGATGAATGGATACTATCAGGAGAAGGCCAAAGAAGCACGCTCTGTCTGCGATCACATGAGCATGGCAGTCCATGAACAAGCCGAGGCAATGAAGAGGCACGTTTTGGATGGAGAGGATAGCGTACCTATGCGCCAGCCCAGCTTGAGTTTCTTCAGACTTCTACGTTTTTGCCAAAGCATACTGAAAAGCATTGCATAATGAATGTTCACTAAACAAACAAATCAATAAGAATGATATTTTTTGAATTCCTCGATTTGCTTTGCATCCTAAATTGCATTTCATTTAGAACATACACTTTTCTGGTAAATTTATAAGGAACAATAAATAAATAAAAAAAAGGGAAATCTAATTTGTACATGTTAACTAGATAATCAAATCGCTTATCATCAAATGCAAACCCGAGGCCTCACATCGGGAAGCGCCGCATGAAAAGTCAGCAAATACTCAAGAAAACGAACGGCAAAACGCGCCCAAGCTTACCGTCCGAGTGCCAAGTCCTTTCCCTTACGAAAGCAACAAGGCAGTACCATGGGTTTATGATGTGCAAAGCTTGCCATCGTTAGAATCATCGAATATCACCGGGATTGGAGGAATGACTAGAAGTGGACGTGTTTATACCCCCAAGGACTTAGGAAACAAATCCCCGAAAGGAAAGGGCAAAGAAGAAGGAAGGACAGAGTACGATAAAGAAGATGAATTTCTTCAGTTCATTCGACAAAGTGAATACTCCATCCTTGATCAGCTTAACCATACCCCCGCAAAAATCAGTTTGCTTTCGTTAATCATGAGCTCTGAACCACATTGAAAGGCTCTGCTGAAAGTTTTGAATGAGGCCTATGTGGCACACCACATATCCCAAGACAAGTTTGAAGGGACCGTGAGTCACCTCACGGCTAACGATCATTTAACCTTCACCGATGACGAGATACCCAATGGTCGGCGCAACCACAATAAACCCTTGCATATATCCGTAAAGTGCAAGGATTTTCTCATCGCCAAAGTCTTGGTAGATAACGGGTCTTCGCTGAATGGTTTGCCTAAAGGCGCCTTTGACAATCTAATGGTTGGAGAAGCTCAGATGCGACCAAGTAATATGATCGTTCGAGCTTTCGACGGATCTCGAAGAGAAGTAATGGGAGTGGTTGTCCTACCCATTCAAGTAGGGCCCACAATTTTCAATGTAGAATTCCAAGTAATGGATATTGCACCCGCTTACAGCCTTCTCCTGGGAAGGCCATGGATACACCAAGCGGGGGCAGTACCCTCCACGCTTCATCAGAAGGTCAAGTTCGTAGTGGATAATAAGCTGGTAGTTGTTCAAGCAGAGGAGGATATGATTATCAGCAAACCGTTGACTATTCCATATGTAGATGCGGCCGAAGAAGCATTAGAAACGGCTTTCCAAGCGCTGGAAATCGCTCACGTAGAAAAGAATCCAAACAAGAACCCGGCAGCACTAATCTTATTCAAAAACGGTTATCGATCGGGACAAGGACTTGGAAAGAGTGCTCAAAAAGAGTGCTCAAGGAGTTAAAGAGTTCCCGAACTACATACACAACTCAGGGCGACGAGGCTTGGGGTACGAGCCAACAACAGAACCCAGGAAGGGAGGGACAACCGCCCCTGCTCTATACGAAATCTTTCGGAGCGTAGGTATCCAAGCAAGCTGTGGGACAATTTTGGTGATTAAGTCAACTAGATCCTTTTGAGGAATGTCTTCTCTCGTATTACCGTGTATGAATCACGAACTTGGGGCATGCCCGGGCTCTCAAGATAGACTAAATGGGCACGTGTAAATTGAAGATTCTACTTTAATGCCATGTATTTCTCTTTTCTCTCTTTTACCTACTCTAAGCCTCATTAACAAACCTTAAATGAACAAGCACATTTGAAGTGAGGACGTCATTAGAAACAATGGCTTTATATACCAAAAAAGAAATAAATAAATAAATAAAAACACATAATGACCAATCAAGCTTGGCATGACTTGCGGATAAAAGTCCAAACGAAATCAGTGCAAGGGGCATCCCCTTTTAATGGAGTAACGAGAAATGATCACAAATGCTGCAAAGACAAAGGCCCGGCAGGAAACCCACTAAGGGGGCTGCGCAAAAGATAGGGCAAGTTCTGTTAGGCAACTCATAAAAAGGGGTAGCCTAAGCAAAAGTAAAGATCAAAAGAAAATGTCCGCTAGGGAACACATCTCAAGTAACCTAGGCAAAAGTTAGGACAAAGCAGCATCCCTAGCTGAAAACCGAAAGGCGGCTCGAGAAGATCATTTAATCAATATGCAATCCCAAGCCACGACTTAACTTTGAAGGGAATAATAAGCTAACGCGGATAATGATTTCCTCACTTTGAAGGTACGTGTTCATCAACCTAAACACTAACCAACCTCGGCCAGCCATTCTTCTAAAAAACCATTAAAAAAAAAAAATCCTTTTTAAACAAAGCTTTTACAGAAAGATTTGTAGACATCCCTTTCTCCTCTTCCCTCTTAACCTACATGGCATTAAGATAGAATTGGATAAATATACGGAAAGTGCACAGTGAATACTCACGGGAAAACGGGCAAAACATCTCTTAATAAAGGGTCGAAAAACATCCTTCACAGAAAAATACAACCCACGACAAGAGAAAAAGCGATAAAATGGGGATAAAGAAAGTTTCTCAACGACCAAAGGAACGAAAAGCGATAGGTCATCCTAGTGCATGGGCAGTTTAGATTTCCTGAAAATGAAAAAATGAATATGCATTTAGGACAAAAGTCACATGCATATTGCACGAACATAGGGAAAGGTATTTCTTTTAATAAAAAAAAAAGGGAGAAAAGAGAAATAAATAAAAAAGGAGAAAAAGGGGTTTGTTCCCCCTCTTAATCTTAATTCACAACAAAAATCAGACACGGTCAATCCCTTAAAATGACCGGCCATAGACAAAAAGGCAAGCTTCAAATGTGGAAAAAAGTCGAAGCTAAACAAACTCCTACCAACCATCCCACAGAGCAAATTTTATGTTCAACTTTGTATAATAAAACAGCTGACTTCAAAAGAAGAAAATATAACCATAGGAAGCACTTCTGAATATGCAGCCTTACATCCAAAATAAAGGATTTCTCACTATGGTTCAGTTTTTCCTCCCTGAAGTCTGGTCTAAAAAGTCTTTCAAAGAAGCACATGCAAAATTGAGCAAGTTAAACTTACTAGTATGCCAAGGCCAGTACTAGTGCAGAAGAGGTAAAGGAAAGTCCCCAACAATTTCAAGGCTGTAATAGTATCGATGCAGAACCTTCACCACAAAAAGGACAAGGAAGGCAATAAATGATAATATATTAATTTTGAAATACATATTTGTATATGCACCAAGGTTAGAATATACCTGCAATGTACAAATTGAGTTCGTTGCTGACAATATGGCACCAATGGCTTCACATCTACAGTGCAGGACAATATGGCACCAATGGCTTCACATCTACAGTGCAGGAACAATCAGAATAGAGGGACAAGTGATGAAAAAAAACACCAATGTGTTAGTCCATGTAGCATCTCCAATAGTGCATTTAAAGTGAAGGTTCTCAACTCACTTTTGATAGGTTTTATCATGCTATATCAGATTTAAGAACTTTAACAACTTTTTTCTTCAATGATACAATGATCTAAGAACTTGAAATAAGTCTCAGTGTCTCACATATTATTTCACAATGTTTTTGAATCCTAAGAACTGGTTACTTGTATTACAACCAGTTCTTGTGATGGGAAGGGAAGTCATGTCAGCCTCCTCAATAATAAGCCTGAATGAGAACCAGTTCTTAAACTTAAGAACCTCGCAAGAACTGGTGTATGGATCTATTTAAAAAGTTATTGAAACTATAGAGATTTATAGAATAATATAATAGAGTTACAAATATGACTTGTATGCCTTGTGGATGTTGTGCGATTCGCCTCACTTAGTGCCTTTCATTTACAGGCATTCTACTAATCGTGAAGTTGCACTTATGATGTTGATGGCATATTT